TAATTCCTTCATCTTCCGAGAAAGATGTATACCTATCAGCCAGCCAGCAATTAGCGGGAAGACATCGGTGTTCAATCTGCAATTGGGGATGCCATCTTCGCCGATTAAGATTTCATTAAATTCGAGTTCTGTTTAACCAATTGATTGATCTTACATCTTCTCTGCTAAGATTGGGATGTTTCATGCATCTGGCTGATACCTTGGCGTTTATAATTTAATACTCACTTTTAACATTCTATACTAGATAGATTTGACTGCAAACGAATGTAGCACACATTTATAATTCTATTCAGATTGTTTTTGTTTACTGGGAGAGTTCCAGATCCAATTGGCTACAGATCAAATGCTAAACTGGAGATGGGGGTATTAGGTTTAAACTTTGGCCAGCCATTGATCCTTCTTTCTTAATCCTGTAATTCTGAAAACTTTGCTAGCTTTCTCCCAAGGTGCTAGTGGTGTCTGCTCTTATCAGCATCACTAGCACCGGGGGGGGGGGGGGGGGGGGGAAAAAAAAAAAAAACAAAATAAAATATAGGGTTGAAAAATAAGAATATACATCACACCGCATTTTTTTATTATGGAATAGAAAGTCGTTTAAGATTAAAAAAAAATGAAAAAGGGGGGGGGGGGGGGGGGGGGGGTTAAAAAAAAAAAACAAAGCACTCGCAACCATTGCTTCTGACCCTGACCTTCGGGGCGGAGATCGTTATCTTGTGAAAGATCATAGAGTTCAAGGAGGAGGACGTCTCCATTCTGTTTCCAATTTATTGGGGAGGACCTTTTTTTACATTGTGAAAGTGACGCCATTGTGCTGGAAACCGGGTCCAGCGTCCCATATCCAGTCGACTCTTCCCTACCTATCCTGCAGTAGGGTCGGGTATTGGGGGGAGAAACACCGGGGGGCACCAGTGGAGTCTCCCTCCATCCCCGAGCGTCTGCCATCCTTAATGGCCACCCAATCATTAATCTCCAATTTGGCTCCCTTATGGAAATTGATCAAAAATCTGAATCCAGTCCCAAACGATTAGCTCAATTATTTTATCAAGTCCTTCATGTGAATGATGACAATAACGAAGACGTATTTTTAGTGTTGCATGATCAATCCAATCATTAAACTCACTATTCCTCCAAATATCTGCTATTCTCATAACCCCTCCTTTTGCCCATTCATTCCAGGTCGAGTCCATACAATGAAGGACACACCCTTGAGAGTCTCTAATCCATCTATTGTTAAAAGGGGCTGTTGGCATACTCTTGTCCACCTTTCTGGGAGGATCTTGTCAGCCAAAGACAATTTTCTCCATGTTTTGATAAGGGTTCTTATAGAAGGTTATCATATTGGAGATGGTATCCTTACTCATATTAGCTCCTCTTTTTTTTTTTCTTTTTTTTTTGCATCTTATTATAAATACAATGATAATTCTCATTATCATGAATTTTTCTACTCAAATACATATTGAAATCAATGTGACAAAATGAGAAAGAAATCAACGTGTATACCACTTTCACCATGACGGCTTATAAAGAACCATCATTACACAGATCCCTCGTCGCAGCTAGTCTGTCAGAGGATAAAAAATTCTCTTGTGAAATCTCAAACGGTTCCTGTTGGGAGTGGCCAAACACAATTTTTCAGCCACATCAGGTGAAGAGGAGAATTCTCTTATTAAATCTCCAACTTTGTTAAATGAACTTAAATCTCTAATCAACACTCTCTAGAGTCTCTACCATTTCCAGTGCTAAGCGTTTAATTTGCTCTCTGAAGCCAATGTTTGCACTCTCCTATCTAGACTCCTGTGCCATGGGATCCTTGAAAAGGGAGGAGGATTCTTGGACGAGGGCAACCGGAAAGAGTCGAATAATCATCCCATTTCCTGTAGGCATGTATTGAGGCTATATGTGTTTCCTAAGTACAAAAGGGGTATGATGGATGGAAGGAATCAAAGTGATTGATGCACCATACATGAGGATACAGAATGCGGACCTAAATCTCAAGTCCCTTAATGTGAATGGATTGAGCACAGCTAAGTACAATAAAAAAAAACAAGCCATTTACAAGCAACTGAAAGGAATCTGTGTAATGGCCTGATGTCACCTGTACCCAAGAGACTCATCTCATGGACACAGATGCTCACAATTTCCATCACGAAGAGTGGTGGCCCCATCAATCTTTTCCAGCTCATACCCCCAAGCCCGAAAGTGCTGGGTTGGCCATCTGGATACCTCCGGGGTTCCAGAGCAGAGGTAGTTTANGAGAGAGAGAGAGAGAGAGAGAGAGAGAGAGAGAGAGAGAGAGAGAGAGAGATTTAGTGGGGTTGGAGAAGAGTCACAGGAGTGGATAGAGTGAAGACCCGGTAACAGAAATGATTAATTAGTAATTAGTAATTACAAAAAAAAAAATAAAAAAAAATAACGCCAAACGAGCCCACATGCATTCATTTCGACTACTCGAAGGGTCTCAGACAATTCCAACATAAGCGTCGCACATCCCCGTACACGACGTTTCAGCATCACACAGGATCTGTTCTCAAGGAATACGCCAAGTCTGAACAGCCTTCGACTACTCAACCTTCCTAAGGTTCATTGGTCCACAGCGTCCGAGAGAAGAGGGACCGCATCTTTCGTGTTGACCAGCCTCCACAACTGATGTTGACGAGGCTGAACAATACGCAAAATGCGCCCAGGTACATTGAGGCTGGTCAACAAGACCCGAACAGACCCTTTATCAGTTGATGAACCTGGTCAACAAGACCCAAACAGAGTTAACAGACCCTATATCAGTTCTTGAGCCAGGTACATTTATCAGTTGTTGAGCCAGGTACATTGAGTCTGGTCAACAAGAACACCCCTGGTTTGGTGACGAGCCTCAGAGCGCTAGATGATTTCAGGTATGCTTGTTGATGTTGTTGCATCAGCAGAATGCCCTGTCACAGTGTACCTACCTGGGCGCGATGAGCTGAGATGCGAACACAGCTATAGGCACATGCATCCCGTTACCTCCTTCACCTGTATAGTACTCCACCTGTAGGTACATTTATCAGTCCTTGAGCCAGGACCAGCCTCAATGTACCTGGCTCAACAACTGATAAACGTACCTGGTCCTGGTCGTTATGGCTGTGGTCTGTAATTCAACAGGTCGTTGGTGCACCGACTAGCACCTGTATAGTACTCCACCTGTATAGGTACATGCATGCGGTCTAGACCTATGGTCCCCCGACATACAGCTATAATGACCGAGCATTCTGTTCGGCTGAAGGCGGCAGAGGGACATGCTGCTCTTTGAAAGTTTTCGCCGGGGCCTGCAAGGACGGAATTCTTTCCCCCTGCATCATTCTGCAATCTCCTCTACCCCTAAAAGAGTGCACCTCCCTGCATACATGATCCACACAAAGAATGTTATCCCCCCATCCTCTCCCCCCATCCCCTCCCCCTGCATACATGCTCCACACAACTTCAAGAATGTTATCCCCGCACCCGAACGTCACATTGAGCCACACACACATCCCCACACTCTCCAGAATCGGGACACAGCATTCAGCTGGAGCCGACGGACTCCAGTGTGATAGGGAGGCCCTCGAAATCTGTGTTAAGAAAACACTTAGGAAAAACGAGAAGGCAGAAATGCCAGAAACCCAACTTGGAAATGTTGGATTTCAGAACCGAGACATGTAATCCAGAAGAGCGTGACACTATCTATGGTAGATTGATGGCAATTCCATATGCGTTGTTGAACCAAGAAGAAGACCTAAACCTTATTACAAACCCGATATGCAGAGTTCATGCCTTGCAGAAAAAGAAATAATCGTACACATACAGCCTACTCGACCTTCGGCCCCTCTGCAGAGAAATAAACCCACCCCCAGGAAACAACAACCATGTCCCCTCTGCCGCTGTCACCATGTGGCACGCACACATTCACACAGGCCTCTCCGACGTCACACACGTTCACGCACAGAGACACACACACACACACACACACACACACACACACACACACACACACACACACACACACACACAGAGAGAGAGAGAGAGAGAGAGACAGAGAGAGCAGCATTGAACGTGGTCACACACGTGCGCACACAGACACGCACACAGAGATCATCACATAAATTCAACTGGCTGAATGCCAGTGTAGCATGATTCAAGTTCTTTCATAGTTTGCTGCCAAAGAAGAAGTACAGCCCAGCATTGTACGTAAACGAGATGAAGAGATTGATGTTCTCCCAGGTGGAGACGAGGCATGATCCAAGGAAGACAAACACCGTAGAGAGTTTTTTTATCGCAATTGACGAGTGGTCGGCGGAATCCCTTGTGCCCCGTTTATCTGTCTGTACTACCGTGTAGTACGTGTACCCACATTGCTCTTCGAGGGCCTGCTCGCAGTCCTTCTCAACCCCGGAAAGGAGTAGAGTTCTGTTGCTGCGGGCCATTCATCTCTGAAGCCATACAAGAATGCTCAGACTGAGCCTAACGTGCATAACTGAATGCAAAACAAACGACTAATTAACTTTCGAACGCAGAAACTATCATACAGCCTCACAGAAGCAAATGCGGCTTGAGAGGGAAAAATAAATGCTTTAATGCTCTCCTCGATTCCTTTTTTGAATACCGTCCATTTCTACAACACTTCACCTATTAAAAAAAAAAAAAAGAAAAAAAAAAAAAAGCATTTCAGCTATTGAAGTGTCCCTGAGCAAGGGCAGTGAAAAAGGTTCTACGACATCTCGGAAGATGATCTCTCAACCTCGAAAAAAAAAAAAAAAAAAAAAAAAAAAAAAAAAAAAACCCCCAAAAAAAAAAAAAAAAAAAAAAAAAAAAAAAAAAGATCCTCTCAAGCTGAAGAATGTGTTGCCAACATGCAACCATGTTTCCGGCTTGCCCTATGCCCACCCTCCAGGTGGGAAGGAGAACGTTCAAGGTTGTACAAAATCTTTTAAAATGCTGACTGAGTCACTGAGGTGTGAACTGAGAAAAGCCATCACTACTTGGCCATAGCTGATCGGTTGGTTCCTTTTCCCACACTATTATTGACATGCCATTAACCGCCCACGAGAGAGAGTGCATCAGAGAGGGGAGATGGCAAACCGCTTTGCTGGGCTGGGAGTTGGATTCCTGTAGGACGAAGTCATCGAGTCATGTCTGCTGCTGGCAGGCTGATCGGTCATCCGGTTGAGTCTCCGCGATCGCTGCACGGGTGTTAGAACCACGGGTGACCCCTGTGCACCACACAACACAGCAACAACAAGTCAGCTCCTCTCAGTTCAGGCAAAAACAAAAACCACCCTCTCTATTCCCCACCCGGCTTCGATTCCCATTTTTCAGACAAAGGGACAAAGCAGCAAACGAACAACAGACGAGCAAAAAACTTGAGACTCGGAAGAGGGCATATGATGGAGGCGCACTTGTCCTTTGGGACATCCGTTAAAATTGGAACGATACAGAGAAGATTAGCATGGCCCCTACACAAGGATGACACGCATAAATCGAGAAATGGTCCAAATAAAACTAAAAAAAAAAAAAAAAAAAAAAAAAAATGAAAATTAGTGTGGATTAGCAAAATGACTTGAAAATTTATAGGAACGTACCTCACATCATAAAAAAAAAAAAAAAAAAAAAAAAAAAAAAAAAAAAAGATGGAGGCGCACTTGCCAAAGCGACTTTACGAATACCGGCGGAAGGAGAAGACTGGGAGGCGCTTATTCAGGGGAGAGCAACAAGGGCTTGCCGCCCATCCTTGCTGATAAGACTCGTTCCATGGTCCTGACGAGATCACGATACGAAGCTTGCAGTACGACAGTCAGCTGATGGCACCGACAACAGCAAGACGGCAAACTGGAGCCAGTATCGTTTCGCTGGTATCCGCGGTGGCGGCAAGACCCCTTCAACGAGGCAGGGCTCTACAGATCCCAAGGAAGGCATGCAGCAATGCTGCATGTCCAAGACGTTGAATTGACGTCCAATTCCCAGGTAGACTGTGAGGACCCCGGCCTCAAGAATTCCGTTTCAAGTAATAAAAAAAGGGAAAAAAAAAGGAAAAAAATAAATAAATTGACGTCCAGAGGTTGGATGGAGTACTAACGTCGGGCCCCCACATGCTAAGGGCAGACTGTAGATGGAGTACTAACGTCGGGCCCCCACATGCTAAGGGCAGACTGTAGACAGGGTGGTCGATATACTAGGCCAAAACGAGAACTGGGCAGCACCAGGGGGCCGACAGGCCTGGCCCAGTCGGTGTTCGAATCCGTGCTTGCACGGAGGAGGTCCTGTGGCTGGTAATGTACAGACTATTATGCCACAGAAGAAATTTATTGGTTACCTACATAACAGAAGAAGACTGCTGAACCCATGCTAGTGAAAGACTGCTGACCTGGGGTCAAGAAAGACATTGCCTAACATGCCTGCATGCCATTTTTGCTTAACATGTTTGCATGCATCTGCAATACAGCTAACTTCGAGATAGGAGAAGATAACCAAAAAAGAAAAAAGAAAAAGAAAAAAAAAAAGACAACCAGGTAATAGTACTACATCAAACACGCAACTACAGTCAAAGCCAATTTGGAAACACAACCATAAACAAGGTCTTCTTCCAGGGATGACGTACTCAAACAGACAAAGGTCAGCCAAAACCACCACCGCCACCAGTGGTTATAGAAGGCCTCAATAAAGGCCTCAATAATCTCCACAGGAGGAGGCTTGCCAATAGGTCTGTTGGTATGAGGGTCGGTCGGTACAGGGCCAGCAACAGTTCGTTTCAACCCCTCTCATGGCCCCCAATTAGGACCCGTATAGACCTCGAACTAGGTTCAGCATCCTAGGTTCAGTGCTAACAATGTGGTTTCGACTTCCAAAGCTCGCTTGTGGCCCCAATTAGGACCCCGGTATAGAACACGAACTCTACCGTCTTCACCCGAATAGAACGCCCGGTCATTATCACTGTATTTGGCACAACTTTCGGTCCAGATGCAGCAATAATGATCGTGCTCGTGGGTTAACATGCTTTCAACAATTCGTTCATCTGCTTGCGCACTTTTTTTTACTATTCCAGGTATTCCTTCCTCTGCATTGTTTGCCCTGATGTTCCAAAAAATCACAAAAAAATCACAATTTCCGCAAAAAAAAACTCATTTCAGCAATGAAAACAGTTTACCCCGTCAGCCACTGGTGTTCATCAGTGCTGTTGTAACAGCGACTTCGTTAAAACGGACATTTTAATCATTTTACATTTTTTGAACGAATTTGAAACTCACTCGTTTGGCCCTAAAAATGTCACCGTTTTAGCTGAACTTCCGTTAAGTCCATTGGATGTACCTGAACTTCCGTTACGTCCAAATGGTCTCTCAGGAGATTAACTGTGATATTTTTAGGGGCAAATAAGTAGGTTTCAATTTCGTTCCACAAATATAAAATGTCCGTTTTGACGAAATCGCTGTTTTGTTTGCCCTGATGTGTTCCATCATGTGTTCTTTTCATCAGTGCCGACAATCCGCAAGGTAGCAAACAGAGCAACAGCCATACATACATGCACAGCAGGTTGGAAATCAAACGTCGAGAAGGCTATCGCTCACTCACCTCCTTGAAGGCAATTGGTTTGTAAGCTGTAAATCTGCCATAGACCCTTTGTGCATCATCCATGGAGCTTGGAACGACGACATCATTCCCGACTGGAATAAACGGTTTTGATTTCACTGCCGAGTCCGCATTGTGGTGATGGTTGCCACCACTGGCCACAACCCACGATACGGTTGGCGACAAGGGCGCCTGGTGGTGAGAGACCGTTCCTCGTCTAGGCGTTGAGGGGACGTCGTTACGTGCATTGCCGTTCACCTCATAGGCAAAATTCATTGCGTGCTTCCGCTCTCTCTCACCAAGTTGGAGTGAGCTCGCCGTACTTCCATCGCCCTGCCGCTCCTCATTGGTCAGCTTGACTGCATGCTTCCGTTCTCTCTTGCCAATGTGGGGAGCACTCACCCTTCCCCTTCTGATTAGAGTCGACCATGCAGAAAATACAATCGACGATGTGATGGTTATCAGCGACGACAAAAGCGAAACCCATGGACGGTCCTCCGCCACCTTCTGCGCTTCTTCAACTTCCCTTTCATCGCCAAGGACCCCCTCTCCGGCCTCTCCGACGAAGGTCTCCATCCAGTGACCTGCAGGATCCCTTTCTCCCAATGTCTCGGTTCCACTTACCAAATAATAATCATTCTCAACAAACTCCACAGTATCAACCATCCATCCAAACTTCTCAAGATCAGCGATACCCAACTTGCTGACAAATTCGCTTTCCTCCGCCAACCACATCAAGCCCACAGATCGTTCACTTGTAGCCCAACGCGCACCACTGCCAACAATCTCAGTGGTGTCCTCACCACTATCCGGGGAATCGCACCCATAGACAACAACCCCTTCATCCGTGCTGTCGTTGTCTACCTCATCATCGCTGAGGTTGACTGCATTATCAGGCCTTGCATGTTCTTCCATTGCACTTCCCAATTCCGCTTCGTGCCTTGTAATCATCAAGCCTGGCATCCCATCGGCAGACATCTCTCGTTGCAGATCAAGATCCTCCCCCAAACCCAGCTCCATCTCAAGAGTCGTCGGAACAGCTTCTATAGGAGAACCCCTCTCCAGCTCATCACCCATACTATCGTGGTCCATCGAAGGAAGTAACCTCACTTGCAATCCAGCACCGTCATACAAATAATCAGCTTGATGACCACCTCCACTGCCCGAATCAATCTCTGGCAGTGCATCAAAATCGGCTTCAAGAGCACCAGGATCAGGAGAAACAGATACAGCAGGGCTCTGCACTTGATTACGAACATCACCGCCATTGTCATCAGTCAACGGAAATCCCTCAGTCGTTGCAACGGGCCAAGCTTCATTATGCAGAGGAGGCGTTCTGCTCTCCACATCCCACCACCCCTCCACAGAAGCAACAACTCGTTCCTCCAGGTGCAAGACATCCAAATCTTTCTGTTCTTGTGCAGCATCCCCCCATATATCCGAAGAGACATCGCCATGATCAAGCACGTCCGGAGTGCCACATTCAACAGCCAAGGAGTCCCTTTCAGGAGGCAAATCCCCAGAGGCACCATTGAGACCGATTTCATCGCGACCAGCGATACCATCAACAGACCAATGTGGGAGGATACGAGAAGACCGAGACTCCCCTTCTGCACGCATATGCTCGTTATCAGAGGCAATCGGGGGGTCATGGACGAAGGGATAAACCAGGAGGCTTGTTTGCGCTGCTTCATGAGAAGACAACGATTCACCTTCTGCACCCATGTGCTCACCATTCCGAGAAGTCATAAATGATGTTATAGGCGTTTCATCTCGCAGAGCTACGTCCTCTGGCGCAGAAGGCGTCACAACCGCTGCAGTGTGACTGACTTCATCGTGAACTTGAGCACCCGAATCCGCATCAATCACCAGGCTACTGTCACTGACCTCAGCGTCAATCACCCCACTACCAAGTCCACTGCTGTCAGATTGTGTCAGCTCCTGACAGCCTTCTGGCAATGACTTCATGATTGTGTTTTCCGTCTCTTGGGATGTGCCGCCGCCGTACCTAGCAGACTCCACAGGCTGCTTAACACCTACAGTGCCTTTCCAACTGGACTCTTTGTCTTTCGCATCAATAAGAGTTCTCCCCCGGGAACCAGTCCGCATTGGACAAGTGGCACCTTCCCGGAAGTAGTCTCTAACAGAATCTGGAGATTCCACCACCGCCTGCCTCAGCTGCCAACGGTTGTTGATGGTATTCAATGAGGTCACAACAACAGAACTGCCAACCTTAGGAAACATACTACGGCGTCCATTCGTCTCGCTTGTTGCTGCCACATCACCAACAGAAGATGGCATCGCAAGAGGACAATGTTCAGCGTCCCGATCCAAGCGGAAAGCCTTTGGCAGCAGTTCAGACTGCCAATAGCCATCCACATCTCCAAAAATACCACCTTTACGACGACCACCACCACCACCTATATCCGATTTCATATCGAATCCAGTCGTCCCAAGAGGCTCTGGAACGACGACGGGCAAAGAGGGGTCATGGAGTGGGCCTCTGTCCTCGACTAACATGCTGGTCAGCAGAGTGAGAACAATGATCGCAGTGAGACCAAGGACACTAGTAGCACGAGCTATTATACTCCTGAGCTTCTTAGCCATACTGGAATGGCGGGAGGACTGTTCATGCAGTTGTTGGGTCCCTTGACATCGTCCAATTTGAACAGCTGCTGCCAAAGAATGTCGAGGACTCAGCTCACTCTCAGAACAATCTTCTTCCGCTTCGCTGAGGCAATCTTCAGCATCATCCACCATCACCTCGCCCTGCCCCTCTGTTTCCAGAACCACCTTCTCCACCTTCTCTTCCTGCTCGAGACTCGTACATTCCCCTTCCTCTTCATGCACCCGCGAGTCTACCAGAGGGTCGCTACAAGTCTCCCCCACTGACGATTGCGTGCTCGAAAGCGCATCATCATCATCATCATCCCCCGAATCCTGGGAGAAGGAAGCATCCTTCGCTCCTTCCCCGACAAAGACCTCGAAACAATGGTCATCAGTGCATTCACTGACACGAATAGCAGCAGCATCCCCACCATGGAACACAGCATCATCCCCAAGCAGTGTAGCTCCCTCCTTCGCTCCTGCTCTCGTCTCCTTCGCTAACGCCTGGCAATCCTCTTCCCCCACATTCTCTGACTGCTCCGCCCCATCCCCAACAAAGCACTCAGTAGGATGGTCATCCGTCTGTCCACTGATAGGCTGAGGAGCATCTACGCTGTCTCTTATACACATCTAGATGTGTATAAGAGACAGGCTCTGGGCTCTCTCTTCCACCACTAGCCCTTCTTCTTTCCCCAGTGCCTCAAAGCACTCAGTAGGATGGTCATCCGTCTGTTCACTGATAGGCTGAGGAGCATCTACGTCATCATCCACCACACCGCTCTGGGCTCTCTCTTCCACCACTAGCCCTTCTTCTTTCTCCAATGCCGCCTCGTAACTCTCTTCGCCTCCATCCTCCGACATCAGCCAGTTGCTGATGTCCTCATTCTTCGCTGCGATATCTTGCACTGCAGCATTAATAACCTTATCTAACAAGAGATCTGGCGTGCTCTGACTTCGACTAGCACTGGGCACCTGGATTGCAGACACGACCGGTGAGCACTCACAGTCAACTCCAGCAACTGGTTTCCCATCCTCACCCTCGTCGTCATCCATCTTGTTACTTTCACCATCCATCACCACAGGTTCGATCGAGCTGCATGTCTCATTTTCAACCTTCTCTGCAGCTTCTGCAGCAAGAGAGCACACAGAGTCTCTCAAGTCGACAGCCACCACCACTTTTTCTTGACAAGAACTAGATCCAGAAACCTGCCCACTTGCAACAGTAGTTGGAACAGTAGTTGGAACAGTAGTTGGAACAGAAGCAGCAGCAGCGGCCACAGCAGCCGGTTCAGTTGCAGCCTGGGAACTCAGAGCAGCACAGGCTCCGGAGGCAGATCTTCTCAGATCAGTGTCAGCAACCGTTGACCTTGTTATCAGCACTTCTGAGGGCTTTGAGAGGAAAGATGCCGGGACATGGCCGGGCCCAGAAAGACTGCTCCTTGGCTGTGGAGTCCTGGATTGCTTCCTGGCATCAGAAGTCACAGTGGGAGACGGACACCTTGTTGTGGTCGTCTGCAGCCTCTGCTGCTGTAAGGAGCCGCTCTGGCTCTTGCCTGTTGATACCCAACGTGGTGGAGACTGAAATCCTCCCGCCTTCGAGATGGAAGGTCGGCCCCGAGGGGGTGAGAAGAGACTCTTGACAGGTGTTGCAGAGCGAGCGTGAGGAGGAGGGGACAACAACGCAGAGGTCGTCGTACTCCTGCTCGTGCAGCTTGCCACACGCAACTGGGAAGGGGAAGAACAAGTCAGTATTAATGAATCCTGGCGTCCGAGCGAGTCACTCGAAGAAGCCGTGCGCACCTCCTTACATGGACGGACCACCATTGCTACTGCTGAGGGTGGGGGATTTTCCCCACCATTCCTCTGCTCCCCCAAAGCAAGGGGAACAGAGTTCTCCTTGACATCATCCACGTTCGCTACAGCAGCAACACAATCAGACTCCCTTCTTGTACGTGCTGCTGCGGATGTCGGTTTCTCGTTCAGCAACCGCACACCGCCTAGACAAACCATCACCCCATGCAAAAGGGAGGAAAACAGACTGGAATTAGGCTAGTGCCACACCATGAAACAGCTAAAAGGCACCAACGCACCTCGATACACCCATGAACTTTCGAAATGCAGAGACCGAATCCAGATGGGAATTAGATGAACGGACATTCAAAAGAAATGAAACAGCAAAAGGCATAGTAATCCACAGGTCTACTTGCACCAGGAGACAAACAAGAGCAGAGCAGGATGCATGATTGGGGACATCCGAATACTTCTATGATAAAGACATGACTTCGTTTGTCCTCTTCGGCTACGACAAGTTAAGATCGGGCGTGGTTGGGGAACCGAACGGACGATGCACCCATCCGCAGACGCGCATAGGTCTATCTATATCCGCCGACATTCAGCACCTCAGGTGAATTAATGTAATGAGGGGTTCGAAAGTCGTAATAGATTGCCACTGTTCATTAGACTTTTTGAACAGACTCACACCAATTCATACCCCTATGCATGTACGCTGCAAGGGGTGTTTTTATTATTAAAAAAAAATAAAAATAAAAAACGGTTGGTAGCAGCGAGTGACTATGCACCAGACAAATGAACAGTGATGGTCTCTCTCTCTCTCTTTTTTTCTTTTTCTTTTTTTTTGACAGTCTCTTACTGCCTTTTGAATTGGTGCAAATGTTTAAAAACAAAAAGAGAATTGGTGCAAATGATACACTCACTCCAGGCCCAAATGTTCAACATAGATAGGTAGACAAACGTTGTGCTGACAAGAAGGATTCCTGCACCCGCTCGCCGCTCATCCACTTATTTCTTGGACTTGCAACAGCAGAAGAGAACCAGCCATAGGGTCCGCACGGCGAAACTCTTCTTTTCCACATGTTTGTTTCGCTGCTAGTGCATTTTCGTCTTCTCCCTATTTTTCTCTTCCAATTCCTCTCGGCGACTGCGATCCTGCCAAGCGAAGGCATGCTACCGTCTTCCCCCGAACACAACGCACCCTTATTTTGCGTGCATCTGGCCGGAAATGTGGCTTGTATAGTTTCATTTTTAGGGTGCGTTATGTTCGGGGGAAGACTGTAGCCAGCAGGAAATCTTCAAATGCAGGAAAGTTCTTTGCAACTTCACAAGGTTTCCACATTCCTGATCGAGTGTTAAGTGAAGGTTTCCACTTTCCTGATCAAGTGTTAAGTGAAGGTTTCCACATTCCTGATCGAACTTTCTTAAATGCGTCCAAATGTTTCTATCCCTATACGTTGTTCACGGCAGTGCTCTCCCTGTGCCTCTAAGTGCAAGGCAGAGAACTTGGGGTGGGAGTCCCACTTCCAGCCATCATCACAAAAACACTGTGCCTTGTCCGACAACAAAAAACGTGAAAATAAAATATTCAGCTAGGAAAATTCGGAGCCCGTGGAATGAAAAAAAATATATACATCTTCTATGTGTGTGTGCATCATTCGACCATCAGAGAAAACGAGGAAGCCATAGGGCCTCGCTGCACTACTCTTGAAAGGTGCAAAACGAGAGTGAATCTTCCGCTAGAACATGGAAAGATACAGCGACATGATTTTTGTCTTTTGTGCATTTCAAGAGTAGTGCAGCGAGGCCCATAGTCTAACCTTTCCTTCCTCCTTTGTATACATCAATGTACATTTCTGCGAAACTAAATACGACAATCAAGAGCTGTACACAGAGAAAAAAAAAAAGAGTCAATTTTAACTTACCCCTCAATGGGAGCGTTTCACGGCGACTGGCAATTGGAGAGGGCGCCTTGAGATGAGACGCAGCTGCTGAGCCATCCAATTTGCAATTCCACCCCCGCGTCCGGTTTCCATTTTCAAAGATGAGAAACAAGTTGGAAACCGACAAAGGAACCACAGACAGAAAAACAGAGTAGTCAGGAGCTGCTGCAAATCTGGCAGAAAACTAACGGGCCTAGCCCAGCTGGTACAGCCATGAACTTTACTTAGAAATTGTTTGGGGAGCAATTGCACATAATCTGGATCAGAACCAAGATAGGATCCAGATGCAATCTACCAGCATCACTATCATCCGCGAGGAAAGTTTTGTTTAAAAAAAAAAAAAAAAAAAAAAAAAAAGATCCAGATGCAATCAGGTGACTGCACACGAGCTGCTCTCCTTTTTTTTTTCCAGTTTTTTGGTATGGGTAGCAATTGCACATAAAGGGAATCGGACCCACAACCCCAACCCCTCTGGAAGCCAGAACCGGAGTAAATGCCTGCTGAAACACAGGCATCTCCACGGGCGGTACCGCTGACGGCTCAAGGAGTCCTACCGTAGTTGAAACCAACCACCACCGCAATATCATTCTACCTGACGAGGGCGTACTCACACTCGCACTGTTTACAACGTATCTCACCGCATTACAGCCGGACATGGCTGAATCTGACCGCAATAACGTCCAGAAATAAGTAAAAAACACTCCCTGAGCAAGCAAGCATGCCCTGTCGACTCCTCCCATCCTGGAGCTGGAGTAAACAGTGGTGGTTACCATTAAACCCTAAACCCTAAACCCTGTGCGGAGGGAAGAGAGAAGGAAAAAGAACTGTGGCAGCCAGATTGTCCACACAACGGCCTCGATTTTCTGCTAACTACGCGCGGGACACAATCTGTTTTCTTTTTTAAAGGCCGCCCTCTCTCCCTACCGTTTTCCCCCGAACACAATGCACCCTCATTTTGGCTGTATCTGACCTGAAATATAGCTTGTATACATTCATTTTTAGGGTGCATAGACGGTAGTACGCTCCGCTGTGTCCCGCTCCATTGTGTCCCACGTGGAACCCTGCTGCTGGACCCGGGCCGAGGTCCCACAAGCAAAAAGGATAGGATCGAGATCCTGAATCTGGATGGGTTTTATGCAGAGATGCAGAAAAGCAGTTCAATCTCGATTTCCTGCACATCTCCATAATCTCGTCCAGATTCAGGCATTCGATCCGATCCTCTTTGCTAGTGGGACCACGCCCCCGGTTTCCACGCGCGGCACAATCTGGAGATATGGTGAATCGGAATTAAAAGACCTCAGAGAGGAGAATAGCGCCCGTTCCCGGGGTTAGAAATGAACTGCCGTCTCTTTCACCTGAATAAAACGCCCGTAATTATCGCTGCATCTGGACTGAAAGTTGTACCAAATGCAGCTATAATGACCAGGGACGTTCTGTTCGTCTGAAGACGGTTGTTGTTGGTAACAGGGGGCTGTGATCCGGGGGAAGACGGTAGTGCTCCTCAGAATGGCGGAGATCCGGAGCTATAAGGACCTGCTCTGCGTTCATACGAGCAGACACCGCTGTGGCAGGCAAATTTCAAAAAAAAAAAAAAAAAAAAAGACCTGCTCTGTGTCGAAAACAGAAGGAAAAGTCCTTCGGGACATCCGTTAAAATTGGAACGATACATAGACGATTAGCATGGCCCCTGCGCTTTCAAGGATGACACGCATAAATCGAGAAATGGTCCAAATTTTTTGCTTTTATGCCTTGGGAAAGTGTTTTGCAGTCAACATTGATACTGATTGGTTCAAAAAAAAAAAAAAAAAAAAAAAAAACAGAAGGAAAAAACGTTTATGCCCAACCTGTGCTTCTGCCCTGTACTGCTAGCTTCGGTTCCGTGCGTTCCCAAAAAAAAAACACTTCAATTGTATTAAAATCATAAAATGGGTTATAAACTTTTCGAGCGTAACTTCCGGTCTCCACGTTCATTAACTGCCTTTTCTAAATTACTGTAATGTGCTCGGAAAAAAAAATAAAAAAATTACTGTAATGTTCGAAGTCATCGTCCATTCACACAGACGGTGGACAGCTCCTTTTGCACGGTGAAAAGGGAAAGGGGAGGGAGATAGGGCAGATTCTTGACCAGGCCTCCTTCGATCAAGCTGGGAAAGAGGGCGCGTGGACAGAAAACTTGCCCACAAATAGGCGAAGTACAAAACCAGATCCGCCATCTATCGATTTTTATTTATTTTTTTATTTTTGTTTTTATTTTTAAACAAAAAGCTGTAACTTATTCAAAACTAGAGTCCGACAGCTTGTCCATGAAATGTGGTACGAGAGACAGGGTGGTCCATGCGGCTGACTGAGCACCTCAGACGCGAAAGCAGACAACGCAAGGGAGAAAGAAAAAACGTAACTTAAAGATCTGTGCAATCGAACTCAATAACTCACATTTCTTCGTTCTCAATTCAAACCAAATGACTCACCTATAATACTATCAATAAGACGAAAAAGTAGGGCCAGAAACCTCCAACACAATACAATTGACCTCTCTCTCTCTCTCTCTCTCTCTCTCTCTCTCTCTCTCTCTCTCTCTCTCTCTCTCATACATATATGATATTATATATAAATAGAACTGCCCGGTAAACCGTAGGCAGAGAGGGAGAAGAGGACAACACACGAGGGGCTGTGACAAACTGTTTCGTCGGAGTTTCACCGACTCATCAGGATATATATATATATATATACATATATATATATATATCGTCACAAACAGAACTGCCCGGTAAACCGTAGGCAGAGAGAGAGAAGAGGACAACAAACGAGGGGCTGTGACAAACTGTTTCGTCGGAGTTTCCCCCAAAAGTACACAGACAAACATACACAGACATGTTCTCGATGCCGAGAGTGGAAGGTAAGAACGTAGGAGAAAGCGCTGCTGGCTCAATGCCAGATTTTCTTGATCCCAATGGGACCAATTCTTGACTTGTAGGTTGAAGGATCGAATTCCTCAGTTAGTTCGAAATCAAAGTTGCGCCCGATTGGATCAAAGTCCGATTAGGTCACTTTGGCGGGAAAGGTTTCACTGGATCCCAATTGGACCACTTTGGCGGGAAAGGTTTCACTGGATCAAGTGACCTAATTGGACTGAGATTCGATCCCCTCATCTAAGGCAGGGAAGGTCTAGACGCAAGCCAGCGCCTGTGAGGCAGAGGATACTTTCCATGGAAAGATTCCTGGGACAGGGAAATAATTACTGGAAGAAAACTGCGACTCAGGAAGAGGAATTGTTGTCCTTTCAAAATGGCGACAGTTAGGGAAAAAAAAAAAAAAAAAAAAAGAAAGAAAGACATAAAAAACATGAAAAAGATCGGTACCACAGCAACTCACTCACTCGCCGAACGTACGGACCAATCAAGCAAAGGCTACCACGAATGGAAGAGGAAAACTACAAAAAAAATCAACCATGTACAAAAGAATTGCTATAGTGCAGTAAGTACATCACTGAAATGACCGGAATGGATTGGAGCGAGGCCTCATAAGGACCTGTTTTTTTTTTTGAAATAAAGCAAAAGAAAAAGGGAGTTCCTGACGTCAACGAGAAATCGATGCGCACTATATAAAATGACTCAGCTCCGTATCGATACCGTGTTCAAAGGCTTCTGCTAGGCTCCGATCCAAGGGGGGGGTGCCTATGCCACCTCCTGGATGGAATTCAACCTCTCGCTTCTTTAAGAACAAAAAACAAGGAAAGGTGGGTAGCTCAGATTCTCAGAGGCTGTGACAGACTGTTTCGTCGGAGTTTCATCGATATGGAGAGGGGGGGATTCCAACAACAAAGGCTCAGTACAGTTTAATGAAGCCAAATTTGCGTGAAAGGGAGCGGGATGCACGTGGCAAGAAAAATGGAATACCAAAAGGCCTTTAAAAAAAAGAAGAAACACACCCACACACACCCACACACATACACACACACACACACATACAGACACACACACACATACAGACACACATACCGACACACACACACATACAGACACACACACCACGATCAACAGCATTTCATGGGTTCAGCAGCCACGTCATAATAGGTACCTGTAGGGGCAGCAGCAGAGTGACTGTACAAAGGATTCCTTTGGCGCCAGGGGATGTTCGATTCTTGTAAAGGAGTGGCCGGTTTGCATGGGGACAAGGGGAGAAGACCAGGGGCAAGACGCCGTCTCACGGCGGAGCTGTTTGCAGCTCCGTCATGTGCCGCTGATCGTTTTCTGTCGAATACTGGACTCGGGGAAGCCATAATTGATTGAGCACTTGTCAAATTTCTGCAGAATTTGCAACGCGACCACCACACAGCAAGAAGCAAATGAAACAACCCATTCAAAGTGTCACGTCAGCAGCAGATTCGATTTCACCACGTCCCAAAGGGCCAAACGAGTCCGTCGTACAGAGACTGTCTCTTATACACATCTAGATGTGTATAAGAGACAGGAGTACCAACAGGAAGGCGTAGAAGTCCAAAAACAGAAGACGGTCCTTCGGGACATCCGTTAAAATTGGAACGATACAGAGAATGAAGATTAGCATGGATGGCCCCTGCGCAAGGATGACACGCAAAAAAAAAAAAAAAAAAAAAAAAAACAAAAAAAAAAAAAAAAAAAAAAAAAAAAAAAAAAAAGGCCAAATGAACAAGAATCGAAGCAAAAACTGGAGCGGATGTCCTTCTGACATACATTCGTTAAAATTGGAACGATTCAGGGAAGATTAGTATGGCCGCTGCACAAGGATGACACGCATAAATCGAGAAAAAAGAATGGTCCAACTTCTGGAAATAAAGGGGGAAAAAAAAAAGAGCAAAACCTGAGAGAAACAGAGGAAAATTTTGAGAAGGAAAGGCTCTCTTCCGCGCCCGAAAGGTGTAGAGGGGAAGGGGAGGATGGCAGCTTTGGAAACAAGCTCAGGAGAAAGATCAAAAGATAGGATATAACCATGTCAACCAAATCACTAAGAAAACACAATGAAAAGGGAAGCAAAGACCGCAGCCAATTGCAACGGATATGAACCAAGACAATTATTCCTAGCGTAACAAATTATTTTGTTTTTTAGTAATTTCATTTTAATGGTTAAACGAACAAAATTTTGCCGAACTTACTGCTAACTCCTCAGGAGAAAGATCAAAAGATAGGATATAACCATGTCAACCAAATCACTTACAAAACACAATGAAGAGGGAAGCACAGACCACAGCCAATTGCAACGGATATCAACCACGACAGTTATTCCTAGCGTAACAAATTATTTTGTTTTTTAGCAATTTCATTTTAATGGTTAAACGAACAAAATTTTGCCGAACTTACTGCTAACTCAACAGAAGACTCCGACATCCAATTTCGCCGAACCTGAAGTTGCCAAGGACAGCTACTAGCGGGGGCTGCTCTTACCACCCCCCCTAGTAGAGGGGGCAGGTTTCTAAATTTTTTTACTTTTTTAATTTGAAATACATTACTCGGAATGTAATCAACTGTTAGGAGAGGGAAGAGATGCGGCTGGCAAAACTGCGCAGGAGGTGAACCGTAGGCAGAGAGCGAGAAGAGGACAACAAACGAGGGGCTGTGACAAACTGTTTCGTCGGAGTTTCACCGACTCCTCGTCAGGAGGCTGCGCGGTGAACCGTAAATATATATACATATCGTCACATAGGTATCAGAGCGCAAAAGCGAAAAAATCAAACAAAGGAAACAAAAAAAAATCAATTCATTTTTCATCTTCTTGTCACACGAATATCAGAGCGCAAATGCGAGAGAAAAAAAGAAAGAAAAACAAGAAAAATGGAATTCAGTTTCTTATCTTCTTACTTATAACACCCCCTGTTCAGACCCTCTTGCGTACAAGGCCGCCCACGTGGATGTAGGTTGAGCGGCGGCTGCACCCAACCCCGTGTGTCATATCGACCCACTTGCACACAGCCAAAAGGCAAAGAGGCAAAGAAAAGAGGAAGGGAACAGCCAAATAATACAGAACAGGGGGCAACAAAACAGATCCCAGATGACAAGTCCCACATGCAAGCACCGCCCCTGCCCACAGGCCAAACGACGGGACAAGACCAACCAGGATGTCAAACAATCTTGTCTGCAAAAAAATTAAAAAGAACCCGGAGGACCGGTATAAAAAACAATCCCGGATGACGATTCCGACATGCAAGCACCGCCCCGCGCACGAAAGGCCGAACAACGGGAAACAACCAACCAGGATGCCAAAACAATAAAAAAGCCCCGATGACTAGTCCCACATAAAGCACCGCTACCTGCTGAAAAAAATAGACCGAATAACGGGACAAAACCAACCGGAATGCAGACAAGATTACCATAACAAATCTATCATATCCATAGTAAAAAAAAACGGAACCATTCAGTAGGCCCGCAAAACGAAACACCCCAGCAACGGGGAATAATGAGCAACACAAAAAAATGCGGGCTATATATATCGTCACAAACAGAACTGCCCAGTAAACCGTAGGCAGAGAGAGAGAAGAGGACAACAAACGAGGGGCTGTGACAAACTGTTTACCTTTCTCGGCCTTTTGGCTAAGATCAAGTGTAGCATCTGTTCTGATCAGTTTAATATTAAAAAAAAAAGAAACTGTTTCGTCGGAGTTTCACCGACTCATCAGGAGGCTGAACCCTCAACAGTCTGCAGAATCCCCTCACTGATTACACTGTAAATGATAATCTACCTTAACCAAAATCAAAGTAGACTATCACTCACCCACACCAGATGGAAAATATATTTTTTTTATTATTTATTTTTAAGTTGAAATACAACACTCGAAATGTACTCAACTGTTAGGAGAGGGAGGGATGCGGCTGGCAAAACTGCGCAGGAGGTGAACCGTACGCAGAGAGGGAGCGAGAAGAGGACAACAAACGAGCGGCTGTGCCAAACTGTTTCGTCGGGGTTTCACCGACTCCTCGTCAGGAGGCTGCGCGGTGAACCGTAGGCAGAGTGGGAGAAGAGGAGGACAACAAACCTGCGGCCTCCCGAACGCCGGCCAAAAAGAAAACAATCGCAAAGGATTCTTGGAGTTGACGCAGAGTCGCTGGTAAGTACTAAAAGGGGGCGGTGATTGCATGCATGTGGGACTTGTCACCTAGGATTCATTTATGCTTGTTTCCACCTGTTTTGTTAGATTGGCTGTTCCCTTCCTCTTTTATTTTTCTTTTTTTCTTTTTTTTTTGCCTCTTTGACCTTTTGGCTGTGTACAAGTGGGTCGATATGACGCCGCTCAACCTACATCCACGTGGGCGTCCTTGTACGCAAGAGGTTCTGAACAGGGGGAGTTGTAAGTAAGAAGATAAAAAATGAAGTGATTTTTTCTTTTTTTTTTTCGCTTTTGCGCTCTGACATTTTTGTGACGATATATAGATAGTCAAACAGAGCTGCCCTTCGGTAAACCAGAGAGGGAGGGAGAAGAGGACAACAAACGAGGGGGGGCTGTGACAAACTGTTTCGTCGGAGTTTCACCTAACTACTCATCAGGAGGCTGAACACTCTACAGTCTGCAGTCTCATTATACTGGAAGTGATAATCCACCTTAACCCCGCTCGCAGATAAGCATCAATTTAAGACAATATATAATACAGTATAATCTATATGTCGTCAAAAAGAACTGCCCGGTAAACCGTTGACACAGAGGGAGAAGAGGATCAAATTGATCGGTTTACCATCGCCGAGAGAGAGACCGCGTGGCTGAGACATACGGGGCAGGGATGTGACACACGACCGTCTATCACTGGTAATGGAATCTGGACTACGGAGATATGTATGTTTATATTTACGTCGTCAAATATATTGTCACACGTCGTCAAATATATATATATATATCGTCACAAACAGATATATAACCCACAAAACAGAAGTTTTGATCAATCGAGCAAGTTGATAAAGCACGCAATAGATTATTTTGTTATGCAATATTTTTTCTATGCAAAAAATCGATTGAAATTTGATCCGGCTTCAGCTTTAATAGGCTTTGTTTGTCAAAAAGAGAGTTATATATATATATCGTCACAAACAGAACTGCCCGGTAAACATATATACATGGATGCGCACCTCAGGGTATCAGCTGACGAGCATTCGTTGATGCTTAACCACAACCGTGGTTAAGGTGGATTATCACTTACAGTGTAATCAGTCAGTTAGGGGAAATTGCAGACTGTTGAGGGGGTTCAGCGTCGTAATGAGTTGGTGAAACTCATCGACGAAAAAGATGGTCACAGCCCCTCTTTTGTTGTCCTCTTCTCCCTCCCTTTACCGTAGGCAGTTCTGTTGGACGATATATGTTGTCACAAAGTTATCAGATCGCAAAAGCGAAAAAAACAAAAGGAAACAAAAAAGATATCAATTCATTTTTTATCTTCTTTCTTACAACTCCCCCTGTTCATAACCTCTTGCTTACGAGGCCGCCCACGTGGATATAGTATATATATGTATATGAATGAGCGTATTGATTTTGAACACGGGAGGAGAGGACAGAACGGAACGGGCGACAAGGGCCACCAACTTACCGCAGGCTAGAACCGGCGAGATCTCGGCGGTGCTCTGCAACTCTGTCGGCGTTTGTACCTTCCTCCTGCCTCACGGCTTCCACGGTTACCCTCGCTTACACGCCGGTACCTCCTTCCCCGAGGTAGGGTGGGACTTGGTCGACATAACGGCTTCGCGGCACTCCAGGGAAGGGGGCCGAAGAAGGGGGCAAAAGTGGAGCGCACAGAAGAGTTAAGCGACGCTGAGACTGATAGAGTCACGACAAGGCTGGCAGGTGGGGAGGAGGGCGGAGAGGGAAAGGGAAAGGCAAGCCTGAAAGATACGTGGTAGAGGGAGAGAGAGGCAGAGAGGGGAGCGGGGGGGATAAAGCGAGATCGAGAGGGTGAAAGTCGAACGGCAGATAGAGCTTGGAAGGACAGGAAGAGAGAACGAAGCAAGAACGAGTGAGACCTCAACAAGAAAAAGTAACAAAGAGAGAGTTGAGAGTAAGACCAGAAAAGCACAAAAACAATAACGAGAGAGAGAGAGAGAGAGAGAGAGAGAGAGAGAGAGAGAAGGAGGCTGAGAGACTAGACGAGAGAAGTCGGAGAGGCAGACAAGCCTTGGGAAAGAGACTCCACGCAGAGACAGGCAGCGAAAAAATGACAGAGCGATGGAGAGAGCGAGGGAGAGAGCGAGTGACGGAGATTGAAAGAGAGTGGACAGTGAGCTGATAGAGGAAAGAGAGGAGAAAGGAAGACAGAGCGTCGATATAAGGAGGAAGCGAGGGGAGGGCAAACAGTCGTCAGAAGGGAGAGAGATCAAGGACACAGCTGATGAGACGCGGAAGGCTTACCAAGGGACGACCAGAACTGCCCCCCGCTGGCGCTGCAGCTCCAACAATTTTCGACCTACCTTAGCAATCAGAATCAGATTGTGATCTGGCTGTCAAGATACACAACCTAGCCCCTGACTAACCTGCCGTAGAACGAGGAAGAACAGAAAAAACGCGGGGTCACCAAAAAACCTCCGCTATCTGTGACAGGCCAGAGTCGCTCGTTGAACGGGAAGTTCTCGCGCCCAGCTCCGCAATGCTCAGGAAAAAAAAAAAAAAACAAAGAACAACCGGGGCAAGGTCCCACTTGGGCAAATTAGGAGATTTCGGCCGTCCATCTTTGCGATCTACGGTCAGTATCTCTTCCATTTCGTGCAAGTGGGACCTGCAGGTAGCCCCGGCGCATCCTACTGATAACAAAATGGAATGGGAAATGGGAAAACCCCCGATTCCCCGTGCAACGGCTCCCGCCGCCAAATCGGACCGTACGAACGCTGCGGTTTCCCGCGCGTTTTTTTGAATCAGGCAGCTGGCGCCCATTTGGCAGGAGCACCCCCTAACTGCACAGAGGCCTTGTAACGCGAAAGCCCCAAGCGAAAGAAAAAAAGGAAAAAAGAAAAACGGTCACAAGGGGGAGTCAGAGAGGCGGCGGAGGTCAAAATATGCTCCTCACCCAAGAGCCTGGGGCGAAGTCCCACTAGCAGCGTTGAGCTACCTCAACGCCTGAATGTGGTCGCTTTTGTGGACATGTGCAGAAATGGTGTTGAGTTTCCTGAACTGCACGTCTCCACAAACAAGTCCAGATTCAGGCGTTGAGGTAGCTCAACGCTGCTAGTGGGACTTGGCCCCTGGCCCGGTGCGTACACCCATAAACGATTGAAATACTTCTCATATATTTCTGAACTGCCTGAGGCCTGTCAGCTCAATGATGATATGTTTTTTCTCGTTTTTTTATTGAGAAACAAAACTACACTACATTCTTCTCTCAAGTTCTTTTTTTTCTTTTCTTTTTTTTGTGCTATACTCTTCTCTCAACTTCTGTTGCTTTTACCTTCCAACTACCTACTCCTAAGACTATCTAGAGGGGACCCCTGCAAGCATAGTTTCCTCTCTCTGTGAAGGGGAGATTTCATGTTGCCCCTTGCCCCTTAGGGTATAGGGTTGGGGCCGCCAGTGGGGGTCTGGCTAACACAAAGACCCAGACCTGCCAGTAGCTGTGCCTCCCTTTCTCATCGTCCCCCACCCTTCATCAAGTAGCACCAGAGGCTATGGCCAACACTCTCCCACACACCACACACAACCCACTCGCGCTCACACTCACACCCGTGTTGGTCATAGACCCCGCTAATACCGATCAGGGGTATCCAGAGGACTATCACAGTCCGTTGGCACTAAGTGCACCGCAGGCGGCCACGGGGCTTGAACCCACAACCTCCTGAATGCCACTTGCATGCCTAACCAACTCAGCTAGGCCACTGGATTCTCTCAAATTCTTTTGCCTTTCACGAGAACATATCTCGAAATATTTCACGAGAAATATTTATTTTGCCTTTCACGATAAATATTTCTGAATTGCCCGGTAGCCATAGCGAAAGAAAGGGCCTAGCAGCAGGGTATGACCTTCTAGCTACAGGAAGGTCGCCGCTATCAGTCGCCGTTAGCAGATGGATGAAGGCAAGTACCACATCACCAGAGGAGATTAGTACAGACACATCGAGGTGCTGGCAGCAGCTACAAGAAATCCCAACGCAGAGAGCAGCATCCATTTTGTGGATGCTCTCCCTGCAGGTGACCCCGTCGGCAGTTTGGCTGGTTGGACGAGGCATGAAGATTCAGGAACAATGTACGAGATGCAAAGGACCACCAGAGACAATTGTCCACCTGGGTTGCTATACCCGCTGTCCCGCAGGATCTGGGCCTGGTGAACATAGCAATGGGCCCGTATTAGTGGTCTGATATTCCCCTGGGACGACCAGTGGATCCTTCTAGGAGGTGTCCCAAGTGGCTTTGCTCTGGAGAAGGGATGGGGCTACACAGCCCAGGCAATTTGATCATGTTTGTTCCTGGTCATCTGGGAAGTCAGGAATAAGAACGTCTTCAAAGGGCGCTTTCTTTCGGACAAGGCAATCAAGGCCGCAGTAAAGAAGCATATCAGGCACAACATCAAAAGCGACCGGAGACGGAAAGTTACAACCTCCCAGCAAAAAGGCAGTGGACTACTGTGGTTCACAGAAACCTGGGCGGCACAGGGTTGCCTGGCCAGATTGGAGCACAAGAAATTGAGGTTGGACAGTTGGCTACTTAGTGTTGAGTAAGTACCTGGGTGCTCGGTTGGTTTTCGCGGTAGGAAGGCAGCAGACGGTGGAGAGGTGGGGTTGGAGGGAGTGCCAAATAAATTATAGGGAACGGAAGAGTTTCACCCCCGTCTTTAGGGGCAGATGTTGGATTCCAGATCCTAACCTCAAGGCAATTCGGTCAAATCAGCCTACAAAATGCTCAGACCCAAGAGACGGCTGTCAACGACAGATGGGCCAGACACCTAAATGTGGATTGCTCTCTTTTGACCCGAATCAAATGGTTCAAAGGACAAAAGGCAAAACCCATGAAAATCACTTCCCTACAGTGGCAAATCGCCCACCATTGTCTGACAACAAATGACCGGCTGATCGATCGTACTTATTTAGAACAAAAAGGTATGTTGCTTTCATGCTGCCAACGGTGTCAGAGTTTTTTCCCTTTCCACAAAAGGGCGGAAACCATCGAACACATCTTCATGCAATGCCCGATCGCTCAATTCATATGGAAATGGTGGGATCGCATATGAAGAAAGATGGAACCTACAGTTCCCTGGCCCTGATCTTGGCAAGCCATATTGGTCAGCCATTGGCTACACGCAGAAGCAGCCATGACTTTCGTAGAGAATATGTACCAACTTGGAACGAGGGCGGTGATATGGGCACAATGGTGGCAGAGATGTACGCTGGCTATGGAAAAGGTGAGAGTAGAGGTGTCAGAAATCACAGAACAGATTCAGCAGCAGGTACATTTCGAACTCGCACAAAGATGGTTCGACACCAAAGCACAATTGGATCTTTTTAAACAAGTAGGAGATGTTAGGAGACGAATTACAACTTTGCACAAACTGGGTGGAAGGGGAGAAAGAAGGCTGAATTGCAAAAGTGGAATGGAGCAAAGATGGGGGAGAGGGACATAGGGATTTGGAAGAGATGAGAGACTATCGCCTAAGCTTCAAAGACTAGATAAACATAGAACCCTCATTCCCACTTCACCCCTCTACTGATTTCCCAAACCCTTTCCCGCCCCATGCCCTTTCCCTGGCAGAGATCCTGTCCTAAATGATAAAATCCTACAACCCAGTCTTCCTCACATCTCTTAATCATATAAGGAATCCTTCCCTAGAGCCCCCCAGAGAGTTTTTTGCTAAATAATTTCTTATTTTTTTTTATCCTTCCTTATCCTTCTTTTTTTCGCTGCTCAGGGTCTACAGATTGGGAGGGTCAAGGCTAGCAGCCTGAGCACTCTAATAACAAGATAGTACGGGGGAAGGGGAGGGGGGGGAAGGAGCTAGTGTGTATCAGCAGGTATCCGGCGTCGGGTTCAGGGTGAAGAGGTTCCCCCTTTCCTCCTTTTATCCTGCTCAGTCAATCCCCTAGATTCCAGGGCAATCAATGCTGGCAGGATCCCACCCGTGACAGTTTTTTTTTTGTTGTACTCTATATTCAATCTGTATATGGGACGTTGGACCTATTTTCTATCAAGGTGATGCTCCCCACCAATAGATGAAGCCTCTCCCCAGATGCTAGTGGTGGCTGCTCTTATCAACACCACTAACACTGGTGGGGGTATGGTTTGAAAAAAAAAAAGAAAAAAAAAAAGGATAACTGTGGCAGAGTGACTACCCTTCAAATGAGTCGAGGGGGTTGGTCCCCTGCGAGGCAATGCTCCATAAGCGAAATTGGGTAATGCTCCCAGCCTGTTCCTTTCCCGGGTAGACTGTGAGGACCCCGGCCTCAAGATTCTTATTACAAATATGAGCCTTGGGCACTGGGCATGTCTTTGGAAAAAAAAAAAAAAAAAGGGTCTCGGCGCACCACTCAGGAAAGACAAAAATTATGGCGGCCTATGTTTCCACATTCTGGCAGAAGATTCATCCGCATTTTGCACGTTTGGTGAGAGGTGCGGCGAAGCCCGAGAACATATCTCCCCTTGGAACGTTGGAAAGATACACCCGCCATGTGTTTGTCTTTTTCT